AAGAGCAAGCAATTACTGAACTTAAGGCTGAAAAGGCCATTGAAGGATAGTGTAAAGCCTCTATTAAGACCAATGAGATCATCAACGCTCAGATTCCCGCCAAGATCAAGAGTGGTCTAGGATATTCCTATGACCAGGAATATCGTGTTAGTAATAGGTCCATGCTTAAGTTTAGAGCATTTGTCTTTTCTATCCCTGATACCTCTTCCACACTGTACTCCTCTAATGAATCTTTTCTTGAAAGAAGTTCTCAAAGTTCAAAACTAGTACACTATATTCATATAGGACACTCTTCAGTCCCTAACACGTATTTCATTGCTTATTTAGGAAGCTTGGATCATTGAAGAGAACGGTTAGAAACAAAACAAGGGTTCAGGGCTCTATCATTGATTCATACCTTGTAAATGAACTGTCTACCTATTGCTCCATCTATTTTGATCCAATGATAGAATTTAAGAGAACGGTTAGAAACAAAACAAGGGTTCAGGGCTCTATCATTGATTCATACCTTGTAAATGAACTGTCTACCTATTGCTCCATCTATTTTGATCCAATGATAGAAATACGACATAATTGTGAGTCAAGAAACTTTACCCTAGATGTTCCTAGTTATTCGGGGACCGATGATTGACTAAGCATATGTAAGGTTCCATCTCGTCCACTATTCGATAAGGGCCCTAATGGGTTGAAGACCATATCAACAGGTCTTCCATCTTGCAAATAAGGCATTGGGAAACAGATCATCTTAACAAAAATCATGACATACACAAGATACACGCATATGTCTTGTTCAACTGTATAGAAGTTCCACCTTTCAAGTGAACCTTTGATGAAAGGATTCAACAAACAAAACTGAATATTGATGATGTTGCACTTAATAAACTCCAAGAGGAAAGGTTTGCTTGCACCATGTAAGTAATGGAATGTAATGATATACATCATGTGTTTCTTATGTGTGACCTTCTTTTATAGGTCATGTTCGAGTCAAACGACTTAAGTGAGCAATTGAAATCCCTAGCACACGGACCAGGTAGTTGAGTTGAAAGCGAAAATGGCAAGGATAGAGGAGGAGGCGAAGAAGGCGAAACTGCAGGAGGAACGCTATATGGCTGAGTTAGAGGCTAAATTAAAGAGTAGTGTAGATATGTAGGCAGACATGGAGGCCCAAGATGACAACATAGGTGCCCAATTAGTACAAGAAATCACGTTATCACAACAATTTGTTGCTTTTATGCAGCATCACAGATACACCCCCCCCCCCACATAGATTGCTATGTAGCTCCCAAATATTATTTGAAGTGTACGAATTTGATATTTTGAATTGTATGAATTGATTATTTTTAATTTGTTGGGCTGTTTCATTTGATATTTTGAATTTATGGGCAGGTTTTGTATAAAGTATACGGGAAATACGCTATTTTAGTTTATTTTTTAAAAAATTACCAAAAATCAGCGGGAGATCAACGACGAAAATCCATCACTAAAAGTTGGTTGGGCCATCGCAAATCCTTCGCTAAAAGGCCCTCGCAAATCATTGGAATAAAATAATGTTACTCTAATAGGACCAAAATGAAACAAGTTTCTCGAAAAGGAATAAAATTCGTAAATCCTGGGAATTTTTCAGCCAAATACAATATACAATACGGTTAATAGAAATTGTTAAGGTCCAATGATGGTATTAAGTGAACAATCGGTTGAAATGTAAATAGTTACATTTCTTGGGCTAAAACATAATTCGTAATGTTTGTGAACACTGGAAAAAAGTAATCAATTAAAACCATGGATGAAATATGGAACTGAAACTTCAGGGGTCGAACTTTTCAAGTCCCCTAAACTTAAAATTACTAAATCTGGATGTGAACAATCTATACTCATCTTTTTAAACTAATAACGGTACGAGTTATGTTGATTTACTGTTGTTTTCATTGTTTTTCCTCGATTACTTGATCTAATTGATGTCTAATGCAATAATAAACAGTGTTCTACTGCCGACGGTGTTTGCAAAACCCGACACAATAATGAGTTTTACACACCATCGATACCCACCACCATCTCCCATGATGACCGTCTAAAATTGAGAGCCTTCTAGCCACCATCACATGAGCAAACCTCACCAAATGACTCAAAAAAAAACTATTTCTAACTAAAATAAGTCATTTATTCGATTATTTAATTTGAAAATTACTTTAAGTTGTCGCCCCGAGAAAAAAAACGCTGCATTTAAATTCGAACCTCTACCGTTCCTTTTTTTTATTATTGTTTTCTTTCGATTTACCGAGAAAATTTTGCTCTATATGGAAAAACAAACCAAATGCCATCGATATTAAATCATGTTTGTAAGATATAGATTATAAAGTTAATAACGAAATCACGAATCAGAATGTTCGTCACACTAAATGTGAACGAAATTCACATAACACTGACGGCTTGTTAAATAGTAATATTTATGCACCAATAAATCGATAACGGGTTAAAATATTTCGACACAATGACATTTATTTAACTTAAAAATGTTAGCTTAAATTATTGTATGATGTAATTGAACAAAGGTACCGAGAGTCCAAATAAGAACAACCGATGGCAATGTGCAAGGGTTGATGGTCGGTGCATAGTGTGAATGACAAGTGGATGGCTTAAGCATGATTGGTAGGTGCATGACTTAATTGTTGATTGTCTCAATTGTGCTCGTAACAGTGGATCATTGATTATGTTTGATTCACATGGTTGAAAAGACTAGTAATACCGTAATGGTTGAATTAAGCACGACGACGACTTTGTTGGGTGTGTTTGGTGTTAGAACAGAATATGATAGAATAGAAGAGGATTAAATATGACAGGATAGAACAATTGTTTAACGTTTGATAAGATATAACCGGACAGAACAGAACAAATAAGATAACCAATTTACCCCTAATGAATTGTTTATTTTAATTAATTTATGTAATTTATTAAATTATAATAGAATAACTATTTTTTATAACAAAATATATCATTTGAAATTTTCGTCAAAACAATTAAATGACACCAAATAAAAAGTTTATGTAGTTTTCTATTTTTATTTTTATTTCTTTTCTACATTATTTATTATTATTATATATATATAATAAATTACATAAATTAATAAAAATATAGAAACCGTATGAAAACAATATTTTGAGGACGATAAAAATGAAAATTTAAGAAACATAAAATACAATAAATAAAATCTAAAGAATGAATAAAATGTAAAAAAAAAAAAAAGACCTATTTGATGTTTTAGAAGAGAATTACGTTTTATTTTGAGGTTATATTGGTAAAATATAAGTCTCTTCCACCTTGTTCCACCCTGTTCCATGGGGTAGGGGTGGAACATGTATGTTCCACTTTCTTCCACTATGTTCCACATAAAATTCTTGTCAAACATGGGACATAGATCTCTATCATGTTCTGTCATGTTTCTGTCCAGTGTACCAAACGCACCCTTAAAGAACCTCTAAGTGATAGAGATTTGTAAGAAACTTTAAAACAAATATTATCAAAGATAGCAACGAAAACATAAAATAAATCTACAATGATTTTCACGAAAAATCCCAACTAGGATCTCATGCATTAAAGAACTTAAAAAAACGAAAAACACAACCATAGAGGGTTTTAGATCTACAACTTTTGAAGCTTGAACGTTGATGTTGAGTAGAGAAGAAAAATGAATCTTCCTCTAAAGTTGATCCACACCAACCAACCTCCTTTTTGAATGTTAGTTTCTTGCAATCCAAACTAGTGTGTTTTTATCTCTACCTTATAAATAAAACCAAGTATGTATCTCTTCACTTTTTCTCTCGAGAACTTTTTCTCACGAGAACTTTTTCTCAAAAGTCTTTGACACTTTGAATTTTAGAGATAAAACTTAGAAAGAGTTAGGATAGTATGAGAATATGTATTACCTTCTTTTTGTTGAACCATCACACATGCATATATATGATAGATTCAAAAGGAAGAAAAGAAGAAAACATGGGAAGCCATGTCTCCCAACACACTTCTTACATCTCATACCTTATCTTCTTTTGTTTAATATTTTAAATGTCCTTTGTAGTATACTTGAAAGCAACCAATACACTTAGAAATCAACTAATAAACAATCTAAAACCAACCATAGTTTTATTAGTTAGTTATTAGTTATTTCATATAAATTTAATATCAGAATATAAAACATATATAAATAATGTCACACATAACAAATCAAATGTTCATATAAAACAATGAAAATAATAATATATATCAAATACATATTAGACTTAAACACAAATCAAAATATATACAACATATATTTTATTATTATCAGAAATTATTATTTCAATTAAATAATAATTTATATGACAATTGTTTGGATTAAAAATAATTGAATCACATTTGATCGTACGATTGAGGTTAATTTGTTCGTACGTGTGTGACCCTTTAAGATCGTGTATCAATAACCGTATTGTCAAGTTTAGTGTCATTGACATATAGATCCAACACTAAGTTCCTCAGTGACCCCTAAACTTTTTATCGACACATATGTCGATTGCTATGTGTGTGATTCCACTGAATCATTAACTTAATCAATAAAAAAAACTAAAGAAATTTTCTCGAAATCAAACAAAAAAAAATAAAAATCTATATGAAATTAGACTAAAAACAAATCGGACGACTTTACATAACTTTAATCTACCTCAAAGTTGTCCCTACCAAATAAAAATCCTGAATTTATCATTGCAAGATGTATAAAAAACTGATAACTTAACGAAAACCAGTTTAGTTGGTTCGCATAGCGGATTAGATATACAGGTTAATAAAAAAAAACCAATTTATAATTTACTGATTTTATAATTATTAAAAAAATGAAATAATGAGTTAAAGATGATGAATAAAATTGAGGGGATAGTAACGACTTACTCCACTACTACAAGTCCACTCTCCTTCTCCCCCCATTAAACAAAACACCAAAGTGAAAGCAAAAAAGAAAGAGAACCCTCTCTCTCTCTCTCTCTCTCTCTCTCTTTCCCAGTTTATTCTCCCAGAACATCACTTGGAAACCTCACAATTCCAAATCTTTTTACTAAGATTTTGTTTGTTTCCCCCTTTCTTCTTCTTCTTGTAGCTTAATCCAGACGTCCAAGTTTCTGGTGTTCGTTCTTTGCACTTCTCAACTGCTCTTGAAGCATATATTAGTGCTCCACCTTGTAAGCTTACTTTTCAATTCTTAATGTTTGATTACTTTTCTATTCTACTTATTCCTTTGATTCCCAATGTAACTATGTGTAGATCTATGTTCAAATGCTCTAATTTTGGACCACTGTAGATAAAATTGATTATTGCCCTAATCAGAGTTTGTGAAAGGTATGGCTGTTTTCTACGCGAATTTGGGTGAAATGTTAAAAAGATCAAGTCGTTTATTTAGTCGGAGAACATTGTAAAAACAAGTATGGTAGATTTTTTTTTCTTCCTAATAAGCTGAAAATTCGTTTATTTAGGACGTGGGTGAGAGCCGTTTTGCTTGATTTCGGTTTCATGAACGATGGATTCAATTGAAGCTTGAATTGTAGGATTTATATAGAAATATATGTAATTTTCCTTTCTTGGTGAACTTGTCTGTCGCTATCAGGACAAGTGATTTTACTTCCATAATATGTTCTCCATTTCTATTTTATGTTGTATGTATGATAATAACTCTCTATAGAACAAATGACGTATGATTCAGAGCAATAAATTCTAAGATGCTGATTTATTAAAAAAAACAAGTATAATTAAATAGACAGGAGTAAAAGCCTGGATCTCATCAAACAACAATTTCGAGATGATTTCATATTCCTGTATGTAGTCTAGAGAACATTTTCGACAAATGCTTGATTCATTAGTTGATAATCCCATATTCACTTATGAGTCATGATGAATAACTCCGGGAAACAAGAAATACACCATTGGACCAGAATATCCTTGATACAAAATAACAGCCTAGTCCTGAATATTCCGAACTGCCACAAATTCCTGATCATTAGCAGTAAAATCCTTATTACTTAAATTCCTTCCCAATAACATGGGATGATTTCCAATTTGTAAGTAAAGACACTCCATTGACGTCCGAAAGGGTGGTAAAGGGTAGACATGACAATAACATTGCAGGTTTAGGGGTTCTAAATTACACATGACAGGGATTGTAAGAATGGCGTAAAAACTATACTCCTGAAAGATGATCGAATGTTGCAACTGGTGCTGTTGTCTGAGATCTTTCGTTCTTTCTTAAAGAAAAATTCAAATACAGTAAGCAGAAGCAAAACTGTTTTTATCAAAGGAATTGGCTTTGGATAGCAGAAGAGGGAAGCATGTTATTTACGTCCTGTGGCCTTTATTGTTTCACCTTTTTAATATTTATGGTGGCTTCAAGTTTTAGTCAAGCGCTAGTTTGGGATAAAAGACTTCTTGTTGTTGTGCGGTGAGAAAACTGCTTAATTACTTGTATTTGTCTCAGTTCCCATGGATCTGTAGGTTGTTTTCAGAAGGACTTGGATTGTGTTTATTTTATGATCAGCAAGTTTATTGCTATTAAACTTCAATTTCAAGATAGGATAAACTTGAAATTAGAATAATGTGTTCTGACTTGTATTTTGCAGCAAAGGTTTAGCCATATTCTTAATTAATGTTTTGATGGTATCTTTGTATTCACTCATTCACCCATATTTGTCGGATATTTCAAAATTTGAACTTTTTTCATTTCAGAACTCACTTTACGAAAAGCATTAGAGTTTGACCAAAGAATGCAGCATGTCTCAGAACCTTGCAGAATGAGACATAGTGAATAACTCGTGTGAATTTTAGGGTTGGCCGATTGATAGTGGATTATATTTTGGGTTCTATATCTTCTGTAAAATATCAGGAAATATGCGTTCATGGTGGAACAAGTCGTCATCAAAAGAAGCAAAGAAGAAGACAGGCAATGAAAGTATTTTTGACACATTTTGGAAGTTTAGGATATCTTCTGATAAAAAATCAACCAAAAGATCAGGTGGTTCTCGGAGAGGTTGCAGTGACACAGTTTCAGAGATTGGGTCTCTTTCCAGGGTTGAGTCCAGGTCTGTGTCACCTTCCAAAGATTCCAAACATGTGGCAAGATGTCAAAGTTTTCAGGAAAGACCTCAGGGTCAACCACTCCCGCTTCCACTTCTTCACCCTTCCCGCGTGGCTCGTACCGAGTCTGGAATCAGTGTGTCTGGAAAACCAAGACATGAGAAGGGCTCCAAACCATCATCATTTCTTCCACTCCCCCATACTGGATGTATGCGGACCAGGCCAGATGCAGCAGATTTTGATGGAGCAGATTCTGTTTTTAGTGAATGTTATAGTGATAGCGATGATCCACCTGACTCAAGCCAGCTTAGCCCCTTGGCATCCGATTATGATACCGGGAGTCGAACAACTGCAGGCAGCCCATCCAGGTAAGCTTATATTTGAAATTTTTGAAGTAAAAAGAAAGTTGCCTACTGTTTCATCTGCATGTTTTGATGTTCTTTAAATGTGAAAAATCTGAACTTTGCTCGTTCTTATTCGCATCTTGCTTTTCTATCTCCATCAACTGGACACCTAGACTAATTCGTTCGTTGTTGTTTTCTGAAGTATGATTGTTAAGGATCAGTTGCCTGCCACTAAAGTTCATTCGAGGGATGTAGCAAAACCACCTGACCATCTATTCGTTAATCATATCTCTTCTTCACCCCCTAGAAGAAAACCTTTATGCAGTCATGTGCCTAATCTCCAGGTCCCATACCATGGTGCATTCTTCAGTGCTCCAGACAGCTCGATATCAAGCCCTTCTAGAAGTCCACTACGAGCATTTGGAACAGATCAAGTTATAAACTCTGCTTTCTATGCCTCAAAACCTAATCCAGATTTTCCGTTCCTTGGATCTGGCCACTGCTCCAGCCCTGGCTCAGGCCAGAATTCTGGGCATAATTCTATGGGAGGTGAGATGGCAGGGTTATTTTGGCAACCCAGCAGGGGTAGCCCAGAGTATTCTCCACTTCCTAGTCCCAAGATGACAAGTCCAGGCCCTAGCTCTAGAATCCATAGTGGTGCTGTCACACCACTTCATCCAAGAGCCGGAGGGGTAGCCATTGAGTCGCAGAATAACCGGCCAGAAGATGTAAAACAGAAAAGTCACAGGTTACCGCTTCCTCCAGTTACGATATCCAATTCCTTACCTTTCTCTCAGTCAAATTCAGCAGCAACATCACCTTCTGTACCAAGAAGTCCAGGACGGCCAGATAATTTACCTAGCCCAGGCTCAAGATGGAAAAAGGGAAAGCTGCTGGGTAGAGGCTCATTTGGGCATGTTTATGTTGGTTTCAACAGGTAAGAACAAATTAATTTCTATTCAATTTTATTGATTTTTTATTTTTTTGGAAGGTTGCGCCTGGACTAATCCCGACAAGTTGTGACTGCATGAAATCAGCCCTGAAAGAAAATTTTACTTTTCCTGTCTGCTTGTTTTGTCTTGTCTAGTATTGTCAGTTGTTTACACTGGGCAAGTGTTGTTAGTGGTCTAGAGGTTTATCAATATAAGAAACACATGATTATACTTAAAAGGAAAATTTATTTAGTTTATTGAGTATTAGGTTATGTTTAGCAAACTAGCTGATAGGCTTGCTGTTGGCTGATAAACTAGTCGTGTTTGGTAAAAGTAGCCGATAAGCTAGATGACAATGTAAAATGACCTAAAATGTTGAGAACATAATTGGAAAAATGTAGGGTCATGATTGGGAAAATTGTAAAAAAAGCCCCTGGAGCTTACTGAACTAGCTTATGGGAAACCAAAATGGACTTTTTCGATAAGCTCAGAAATAAGTAGCTTATGGTTGCCAAACATGGCCTTAGTGTCTACCATCGGTTGTCTTTAATCTGGGCTTATGTTACTGGTGTAGTGATAGCGGTGAAATGTGCGCTATGAAGGAAGTTACATTGTTCTCTGATGATGCAAAGTCAAAGGAAAGTGCAAAACAGTTGGGCCAAGTATGTATATTAAGTACTTCCGTTTCCTTCTTTTTCTCGCATCATTTATGTTTGCCGTATCAATTTACATTTATATTCTCGATTTTTGCAGGAAGTTTCTTTGTTGAGCCGGTTAAGTCATCCAAATATTGTGCGCTACTATGGCTCTGAAATGGCAAGTTTTATACTCTATAACTCACCTGCAATACATGTGCCACCACCTGCTGACTTCATTACAAATTGTTGTTTCGAAACACTTTCTTCTGGAAAGGATGTTAATGTCATATTTAGTTATAATGAATGCTTCTGTATATCAATTGCCTTGACCTCGCCTGTACTCTTGACTTATGAACAGGTTGATGACAAACTTTATATATATTTGGAATATGTCTCTGGTGGTTCCATCTATAAACTTCTTCAAGATTATGGACAATTTGGTGAACTCGCAATCCGAAGTTACACTCAACAAATCTTGTCCGGGCTAGCATATTTACATGCTAAGAATACTATCCATAGGTGAATCTGTTACCTATTTGAAGCAAATCCCTACAGTCTTTTAAAACTGCTCATTTCTTTTTAATCTCGAACATAACCAAATTTTTGGCGTCTTAAAAATCGCGTGCAGGGATATCAAAGGAGCAAATATCCTTGTTGATCCGAATGGCCGAGTTAAGTTGGCAGATTTTGGAATGGCCAAGCATGTAAGTCTACATTCTGCGCTTATATGTAAGTTTGGCTGGCTAACTGGTTAGTAATAAAATAGAAAAACTAATCAAACAAGAGATTAGGATATCCCTATTTGATACAAATCTTGTTTACCATTCTCATCCAACAACTCCTGGATCTTTTGGTGAACATAATTAGATATATACATTGTATACTTGATATAAATTATGAGGCTGCATCCTAAAGTTAAACCCTCCCAGAATTATAACATCCACAAAATTGCAGATCAAAGGGCAGGCGTGCCCATTGTCATTCAAAGGAAGTCCTTACTGGATGGCACCTGAGGTTAGTATATAAATTTTTTCTTTGCTTCGTCATTTAAGATGGCATCACACTTGTGCAATTCTCACTCTTTCTTTCCTCTGTCAACACAGATAATCAAGAATAGCAGTGGTTCCAATCTTGCTGTTGACATTTGGAGTCTTGGATGTACAGTTCTAGAAATGGCAACCACAAAACCACCTTGGAGCCAGTACGAGGGGGTCAGTATCGTGACTACTTAATGTTGCTCTTTATGTGTGTCTGCAGTGAGGTGGAGAGTCCCACTAGCTGATTTTATTTTGCTTGTGCCTCTATGGATTGTCCATTGACATGATTGTTATATTCTAAGCCAAAACGGTTTCTATTTGTGAAAATGGTCCAAGTTGAGTCATGTGGGACTTCAACCCCCCCCCCCCCCTCCAACAGAGGGAATAGGTGGTTAGATAGCTCACACGTGAGGGGGCTAGACGGGTACAAACCAGAGCGTCGAGTCCCTAGAGTGGTAGATTTTGGTTCTGAAAGCATTTCAAAGCGGTCCACGTCTAGCTGATGTGGGATTCCAACACTATTCATATATGATTTTTTCTTTCTTAACCAAACATATTGGATATTTTGGCTTATAGGTTGCCGCCTTGTTTAAGATTGGAAACAGTAAAGAACTCCCTGTTATTCCTGATCATCTCTCTGATGAGGGGAAGGATTTTGTAAGGCAGTGCCTACAGCGGAACCCAGCTCTTCGTCCTTCAGCCGCCCAATTATTGGATCATTGCTTTGTAAAAAATGCTGCTCCTTTGGAAAGGCCAGTACCATATTCCGAGTCATCTGATCCACCTCCTGGCATTACGAATGGGGTAATATCTCTTGTGTAGTTATGTGTTCACGATGTTTTACTTTATATCAATCAAAGTTCCTATTCACACTATTTTTAATTTTCTTTGTTTGTTAATAGTAATTGTTAAAAAATTTACTTGACCGTCATGTTTCCATGATTGGTACAAATCTATTATGCTCTTTTACTTGGATGGCAACCATTACTAATATATTTTTCTTGCAATTTCCTAGAGGTCTTAAAAATTCCTCTCTTTGTGATGAATGTACTTGCTATCTACCAAGAAACTTGAGATAATAAGTTATGGCATAGAATAGGGTGGGTTCAAGAGAGAACACTAAAAGAAGGAGAAGAAGGGAACCGTATGAACCATCCATCTATTTCAATCCAACGGTTGTGAATGATAGTGGCGGTTGCCAAAACTAAATCCATGATTATAGGGGGTGGTTCTATTCGAATCTGAGTCATCTATTCTTTTTAGATCCAACGGTTGATAGGGGTTCCCTTGTGCTCCTATTTTTGGGTTTTCCTTTTTAGCTTTCCTCTGTATAATGCTTGAAACTTGCTGCATATATGTGAGTGATTCGTTGTTAGGACTAAAAAAATATGTATTATTGTAATGGTTCCTTACTGTTTCCAGGGGATTGGACATCCAAGAAATCGGCAAACGATGGATTCAGATAGACTAGCTACTACCCATTCATTTAGAGTGCCAAGACCAGGCTTTATTTCCAGGTATGTCTCCCCCACCAGTACACACTTGATTAAGAAACCTATATGTAAATCATTGCCATTCTTTCTTGTGTAACATTTAAATAAGGGATGGAATTTGTAGCAGCTTTACGAGGCTTATAGTTTAGTTCTTCTATCATAATTGCAGTGATGTTCAAATTCCAAGAAACATATCCTGCCCAGTCTCTCCAATTGGAAGCCCCCTTTTACATTCAAGATCACCACAACACCTGAACGGAAGGATGTCTCCATCACCCATATCTAGCCCACGAACCACTTCAGGTGCATCCACTCCTCCAACCAATGGTGGGTGTAAAATCTCATTTCATCATGTGAACCAGTCCGTTTACCTGCATGAGATCTCAAAACCCACAAACATCCCTTGTTCAAATGGAGCATCTTATCGTGACCCTGTTCCTGATATGTTCCGAGCCAAGCAGTCTGGCGGTCATGGGTGCAGCCCTGGTCGACAATTTGGTGGGCTCGCTCAAGAACTTCATGGAGGACAGGCGGTGTTGGCTGACTCTGTATCTCATCTACTCCTGAGGGATAAAGTGAACTTCAAACCATCTTTGGATCTAAATCCTTTATAAGGTTCAAATATCGTTCACATTCATCCTAGATGCAAAATGGTCTAATAACAGGATGGAAGACGTAAAACGGCTTAAAATCCTTGAGATATGATCCGGGTCGTCAAGAGACGATACGGTTCCATAAGGTAGCTGAATATATATATGCACCATTTGAAGGTGGGTTTTGCATATATATAATGTCTCACTTTGCTTGTATATTTAGTTGTGCAGCTTCATTGAGATGTGAAAAAGGCAGCTTTGGTGAGCTATGGTGGTGTAACAACATTTTCATATCTTATATCATCAAATAGAAGAGTAGGATTTAGGAGAATAAGTAGGAACTTTAGGGTTATTTTTTTTCCTTGTGGGAAGCTGAAACTGCTGTACATAAAATGCAGAATCAGTATTGCGATTTGTGTTTCCTTTCACTTGACACACTGTATCTATCTAAATCTATCTGTGTGTATGATTTGTCTCTAAGGCTGTGAACAAACCGAACATTCAGTGAACCGTTTGACGGAAAGTTCGTTTATGTAATAAACGAACAAACATGAACAAGATTTTTTGTTCGTTTAGTTGAACGAACGAACATGAAGAAAGGTCTTGTTCATTCATTTATATTCGTGAACTTTCGTTCATTTATGTTCATTTATTATTATTATTATTATTATTATTATTATTATTATTATTATTATTATTATAATCTATACTATATTATAAAGCATTTGACTAAAACTCTTAAAAACTCTTAAAACTCTTAAACTCATTTATTCCTAAACGATTTCATCACATATTTGAATTCGTGTAACTAACTGCAGATAAACACAATCAAATACATGATAAACATCTCATTTTAAATATAAAAAATCTAAAATATAATTAGTATAATCATTAAATTCTAACAGAATACTTAATTATTATCTTTATAAAATTTATAATATTAAACCAAAAATAAATTGTTTTA